TGTTTCTACTAGCTTCTTGTTACTACTAGTAAGGCACCTGTTACTACAAGTAAGGCACTTGTTTCTACTAGCTTCTTGTTACTTTTATCCCAAAGGCGTTTCTCGACCAACTTCGCCTTTGGAGGCATCGAGAATACGCGGAATATGGAAGCGTCTTTGGATCGAACACCGCTCCTGCATACGATCTTACACAAAGTCAAGTTGTAATCAGAAATGTCTTGGATGAATCCCCCAAGCTACGTCCTCCCCTTTCCCTCTTTCACCAAGGATGTCGCTACCCCCTTTGCTCCTTTTCTTTCCGAGAACTCCTTTGAGTGGAACCTACAATGGATTGAATAGGAACAATAAGCTACGAACGGAACAAGTGCATCGCTACTAGGAGCAAGGACCTTACTAGTAGTAACCAGAAGCTATTCGTTAATTTAATTCTAATAGCTTCTTGTTACTACTAGTAAGGCACTTGTTACTACTAGGTAAGGCACTTAAATCGAAGGACTCCTTTGAGTCGACTGCTCCCTTTCCGCGACTCGCAGCTCGCGACTGACGCTTCGTTCCGCCTCTTCGCAGCTCGGGCCGCCGGAAAAGGCCCATCGGTCGTAGAGGTAGGTGGCGGAACCTCGGTGGTTCCGGTGGACCGAAAGGGATGTCGGAGGAAGGGGTGAATGGAGCGCCACCCGCACGAAGCAGCGGAATTGGAAAGAAAGCCGCAAAAGCAAGGTGAAACCAAGGTGAAAACACGTTTTTGTTTGGACTTTGGTCGAAGGATTGAAAGAACCAGACGGCCAGTTGGTTAGTTGATTTGTTGCTTGGTTGGGAGACTCCTCTAGGACGTCAAGTCGAAACACAAAGTAACTTGCCAACTCGAGACCCATCGATCAATGAAGACGACCGTAACAACCATCGAACCAAATACCTGGAGCCTCACACGAGCCTTCGCTTTTCGCCCCAAACGCTCACAGCGACTGGACCAAGTAGGCTTTGGGACGTAACAACTCTTCAGGGGCGAGTCAAGAGGGACCACTGAGTCGGTGGAAAGACTTAGGTCGATCATGGTCGATCCAAAATGATCCAGGGAGCTGTTCTGCAAGTAGCACCTTTCGTTCGTCCACCAAGCCCAATGGGCACAGCCCTCCACGCTGGCACAACCTCACTTCGCGAGAGTGTTTCATGAGGTGAGCAAAAAGAAAGTATACCGAGGGTTGTAGGTTCTTCGAAAAATGAACCTAGTAGCTTCTTGTTACATCTTGTTCCTAGCGATGCCGTTACTTTCCCATCCACTCAATATCTCAGAACCGTGGGGATCTTCACCGGAAATTCTCAAAGCATGATGCGAAAGAAGAGATCTTCTTGATAGCTCCCCTACATCTGGGTGTTTTCGGGTCACAGCGCTGACCCCAAAAACCAAACACCAAAAGTGAAGGAACCTGGATGGTTTTGTGATCGAAACCCTTCATTTGGCCGGTCTGCATGCCCAACCTCTGAAGCAAGCATTTCAACCTCATGCCTGAAGCCCAAGTCCCCATCTAAAGCAGTGTCTTGAGACCAGGCCGGCATTGTCGCTGCAAGAGTTCCAGTGGTTTGAGAATAGCATGTCCTCATTCAATCCCATTCTTCCCTCACATGAATGGCCCAGGCACGCTTTTGACACTCCAGAGCTCCAGTCTCGTATGTCAGGCCTCGAGGTGATCAGCCCCTCAAGTCTGGAGATGACCAGATTGGCTCGAACTGAAAAACACCAGATTGGCCCGACACATTGAGAACATCGATGGCCCGACCCATCGGACTCAAAACACCACACCACTGTCTCCACCTCGTCCGTTCTACCATTCTCCTTTGCGAACATCGATGCGTGGTCAACGCGTCGTGGAGCGCATCCCCGCAGCGTTCTGAGCGGAGTTGGGTCCGGAAGCGTCGGTCCAAGTGTCATCGGTTGGACAACTCCGAACGTGCGTCCACTCCGGAAAAAGAGTCCTCGGATGTGTTCCCGCTGTTCTGCCACAGAATCTTGACATGTTTCATATGCTTCCGATTTTGCAGGCCATCGCTATTGGAGGCCACTGCTTCTAGGTTGGAGGCCATCGCTAGGCATGGGCCACGCTCTCCGGCCCTTCTTTTCGGACGGAGCGACGCTCCTTTCCCGCTCGTGTCGCCCACCTTGGCCCGTCATGCTCACAGGCTCGAAACGATAGCCCCTGCTGTAGCAAAGCGCCTTGGCCGGAGCGATGCCCTTTGCTCCCTTCGTAGCGATGCCCGAAATGCTCCGTTCGTAGCGTCCTTGCTCCGTTCGTAGTAAGGCCAGGAGCCCCGAGTAGCGTCTTTGCTTCTAGAGAATCTAAGTTTTTAATGCACGCCTTTGAGTCCTTAGCAAGCCTTAGAGTCTTAGAGTATTGAGTGAGTATATGGAGTCTTCAACGTCAATGATTCACACGATGATCTGATAGTCCTGTGGAGTTCTTTCCGGTTTGGAACCACATCAGGATGGGTCGGGTATGGGAGATGGACCGATGGTACAGGTGCGAGTGTGGGTGCTCCACCGTCTTCCTCGCGCAAAACCACCCCTTTGCACCCCTTTGCATCCGGCGAAATGAGAGTTCTGAACGAGGCACGTCGAACTCGCAGGTCTTCCACTGAATCGTCTGGCTGCCAGTGCCCAAGTGCCCCTCCAGATCCTCGGTATGGGTCGAACCCGGTCAGAACGGGTCTTAAAAAAGAGAAATGTCCATGGCCGTTCTCTGGTGTGGGCCGAGTTCTGCGATCTGCGATTGGAGTTTCCATGATAGTCTCGAATAATCTTGAAGTTTCATTTCTAACCCCAGCTCCACATCAGTTTCAAGCAGATGGAACAAACACATCACCCCTCCTAGCTGCAAGGCCAAGGGTCCAAGCAAAGGGCACTCCATTGACTCTGGATTTGGCCTCACAGGGCGCACGGCGGCGCACGGCGGCGCACGGCCACATGTTGCCGGTTGTCTCTTGAACAGCCTCCTGTGCGGGCCACTTGTAAAAAATGTTTGATTTCCCGGATCATATGAGCAGATGTGAACCAGCTTTGGATCCTGTGCCTTCATCATGCAAAAGATATCGCTGCTCAGTGTTCTCAAACCTCAGAAGAGATCCGGTGTCGTCACGTCATGCCTTACGAATGCCGGTCCCAGTCTGTTCCCCTGTCTAGAACGTACTGATTGAAACACCTTGCTCTAGCATGTTGTAGCTTTGTTTGCAATGAGCCTCTCCAACCTAATAGCGATGGCCTCCCTACTAGCTCGGTATCCAACTTTTCTTTGAACTCTGAGATTCCGTGTGCCTTTGGTTAAACCGATCACCAAGACACGTTTCCAGGGTGAAGTTGCAAGGCCTCACGCTCAAGCTCGGCAAGCGGGTCCATGCCGGTCTGAGTTCATTTTTTCGAGTCACACACACTCGGGATATTGCGTACTGAATTGCTGATCAGGCTGCATACCCTGTCACTCCAAGGGTTTCACACACTTCGAACTTGGATTTTTCAGTTAATGCAAGTATCACGTTGGGAAGGAAGGTGAGGGAAACGTAAGGTGAAAGGTCAGCGCAACTGAAATGTTTAACAATCTGTTCACTCATCTGCAGAAGCGCGGCTGAACGTCGGCAGCTGAAAGCTGTGGTGGGAAACCTGTTTAGGGGATGGAAGACATGAAACACCATGAAACAAACCAAAGGAGTGGACAGCGTGGGCAACAGTTTCTTAGCAGGTACACGGTCAGACGTCTCTGACCCGATCCACCGAGCAAGCATAGCTTTGTTAGCCAGCGTTTGCTTGTCGGCCGCTGGCCCCCTGCTTGTGGAGAAATGGTGGTGGAAAACCCTTTGTCCAGGGTGGGACACACACAGGTCGCCGCATTCGGCGCTTTTTCAAAAACCGGTGGCAGGCGTGATAGTTATGCCCCTTTTGGACATATAGGTTCACGAGTTCAGCCGCAGCAATGTCAGCGCTGGAGGGTGGAAATGTGTATTTTCGAATGGTGTGAAGTCGTGATTGAAGGCCTGATAGAGCCAAGCGCTGGCTCCCGGCAGTGGTGGAATCCCGGATTTTCCAGGGTTGGGAAGGTTGCATGTAGGTGATGGTGCGTTGTGGGAGGTCGATGTTGAAACCGAGGAGATGAAAGTCGTCCACCGGTTCTAGTTCCACTGGGTCGCCAAAGAAATTGTGGTGGATGAGGGTTTGGATAGCCGGGTGTTGAAGGAAATGTTCGTTGTGGACAATGAAGCGGTTGTCGACATAGCGATAGTAAGTGAAGTGGAGGTCTGTATGTTGAAGTAAGTTGTTGTGGATCTGATGCCAGGAATGCTCAATGAGGGTGATGGCAACGTTGCATAGGGCTGGAGAGAGCTGGGATCCAATCCCGGCCCCTCTGATTTGTTTGTAAGTATTGTTGCAAGCCCGGAAAATGCATGTGTTGAGGGCAAAAGCCACGATGGTGGTAATGTCGGAAGTCTGGATGGTGCGTTGGGTGGGGTGCTTCTGATGGTGTCGGCCAATGTGTGAGTGGTGGAAAGGATTGCCTGTGGCCTGGACATCCACCGTTAAGGTGTGTGTGGATTGCTGTTGTTGCCAGTGGTGGACGAGGGAATGAACTGCGTCGATGAGTCGGTGCTGGGGGACGGAGTTGAAAAAGCCGACCAGGTCATCGTTGGTGGCGTGTAGTGAGATGTCTGGTGGGGTTTGGGTGAGGTAACTGTGAAAGTGGTGCCAAAGCTGGGGAATGGACATTTGGCCTGGATGTTGAGGGTAGAGGTGTTGGAGGATGATGTCAAGGGCACGGCTGGTGATGCGTAGCAGGTTGCCACTGAGTGATTGGAAGTATGAAATGATTGTACGGCCTTTTTGCCAGTGCTTCTTCTCCTTGAGGTGGACAACCCCGTAGGGAATGTTGAAGTCTTTTCGGAAGCCCCACTTGTAGCGAGTGCGCAGGATGGGGGGGACAGTGGCGGCCAGGTGGTCGTGGATGTCGGCGGCAGTGAGGTATGGAAGTGGTTCGAAAAGCTCGGGGGATTGCCAGGTGTTCAAGGCGCCAGTGAAATATTGGCGAGGGCAAAACAGCCGGAGTTGCTGGAGCTCATGATCGGCATGGTGGAGTAATGTGTGTTTGCCCAAATGTTCTTGGAGTTGGCGAAGCAGGCGAGCCGTAAAGCGGGGTTGTTGTTTGAGGTGTATGTCGTGGAGGCGCCATTGGTGCTCAAGGAAAGGCTGTAGGTGTTGAACTAAAGATGGTGGAAGCCCCTGCAGTTTAAGCCATTTGGTATAGGCCGTCTTGAAAATGAGGAAGTAACGAGCCTTGCTTGGGTAATAGGTGCTGTTCATATTGGCGTTGAGGAAAATGCTGAGGTGTGTAGGGAGTTGGAGTTGATCAAGTGTGAGGATGTAATGGCCGTCGACGGTAGGGGTCTCCGGATCCTGCAGGAGGGTGCGAAGGTGATCGCATGCACAGGGGAGGTCTGCGGGATCTGGCGGGGAGTGGAGGGTGTCCTCCCATGTGCGGTGGTTGTGTAAGTGGGAGCGGAGGGTTTTGTGGGCGGCTTCCCTCAGTCTGTGTGAGGGGAGGTGGAGGGGTATGGTGAAATGTTTGTGCTGCTGGATGGTGGTGCGTAGCCATTGTTGGCAGTGCCTGGGAAAGTCGTCATGGGCCAAGAAGGGCACTGTCAATGGGATGTTTGGCTTTGGTGGCGTGAGATTGCGGTAGAGCAAGGCTTTGTTGAGAATGTGAAGGGCTCGGCTGCGGCCAGGTTCTTCCAAATTCGCGGCCATACGCCGTATTGCATACACCTCGAGGTCTGTGTGGCGGCCGCTTCTTAGCTGCTTTGCTGCCTCGAAAGAGGCTGCGGTGTGTTTGGTGAGGTTGCGAAGGATTTGGAGGGCGTGATGCTTCGTGGAAGTGTAGAGGTGTGGTTCTCCGAGGGTGTACTGGCGTTGTCGAAGGCGTCGGAAAAGTCGTTTGTGGGTGGCTAGTCTGGAGTAGAAGTGGGCTCTGTGTTTCGCAAACTGCCATCCCTGAGCTTTGAGTTTGAGGTGGTGGGAAATGAAAGGCCAGTTGAGTGAAGGCATCCAGTTGGCGATGTAGTGGTGCTCTTGGATCCAGGCTTGGTCGTATGTGTCATGGGAGGTGAGTTGGATAGTGGTGTAGTGATGGATGTTGTTGTGGGAATGCCAATAACGTAAGGAGAGTTCTGCAGAAATGGGAATGTTGTTTTGAAGTTGTTTTAGTTTGGCGCGGCGATTGTGTTCGCGGTGGGGGATGCCGATAGCTGTGGAGCCAACGTAGAAGTGGCCGTGTTGATGGTAACAGCGTTGGGGTTGGTCGGGATTGAAGTGGAGCTTGATGTAGACGGAATTGGAAGAGAGGAAATTGTGGTAGTGGTAGGTGTGTGGTAAAATGTGGAGCTGGCGGAGGCGGTTGCGCCATTGTTGTGAGCGACGGGTGTTGGAGGGGTATGCGAAAAGTAGTGTGATGTGGATGAGGCCGGTTGCAAAGATGGCCTCGGCGCGGTCAATGTATTGGGTGCGGTGGATGAGCATGGAAAGTGTGCGGTGCAGGTGGAAGAGTTGGGTGAGGTTGGTGTGGTTGGGTTGCTGCTGGGCCACGATGGCGAGTCAGCAACCAATGGCTGCTCCGACTCCCACCAGCTGTTGTAGGCTGCGAATGGGGAGTCGGTTGACTCGGTTGAGGGGTAGGCCATATTTGGTGGCTGCTTCTTTTAGCTGCTGCGTGGTGACCTTGCTTGTTTGCAGCAGTCGGATGACTTCCGTCGCAGCTTCTTGGATGGTGGGGTCGAAGGTAGTGACCCATTGTTGGATCTCTGGGTAGTTCCAGCCTTCGGGGATGTCGTCTTGCAGAGTGGGGTGTGGTGGTTGCAAGACGTCGGTGATGGCTGGTGGTTTCGGTGGTGGTGGTGTGGGTGCGTGAGAAGGGGCGGCTGGTGCGGAGGATCGGCTGGTGTTCTTGACTGGTGTGAGTGGGTTGCCCAGGTCCTGGAGTTTCTGACGTGCACGAGCCAGTTCGTCGTTGGTGGTCTTGAGGGCGCGTAGGGCGGAGCCTTCCGCAGGTGCTGGGGAGTGGGTTTGCAGTTGGTCGATAAGCAGTTTGATGAGGGGAGCGTGAAAAGCTCGGGCATGGGTAGTTTTGTTTGGAACGTCTGTGCTCTGTTGTGTGTGGAGCGCCTCCGCTATGCCGTCAAGGTCAAGGCGGTGCTCGCGGAGTTGTTGGAGAAAAAGGGTCACGAAGACCGACTCCGCTATGCTTCTGGTGGCAATGAAACCTGTAAATTTGCCGTTGCTCAGTGTACGGGCGGTGAACTCGGAGGTACCGTGGTAGGCCAATTGCCACGGGAAGACCTCAAAGGTGGGGAGGCCAGCCACTCCTGCTTTGCGAGACCACTGGGTGGGGTGAATCGTACGATGTAGTTGGTGGCCGTGCAGGGTGTTGGAGTCCCAATGTTGCTCGGTGGGGTTCCAGGAGTCGGGAACAGGTGGTGTGGGAGATGGGATGTGTGGGGGCGGTGGGGCGGGCGCTGTGGTGCCACGTGTGGTAGGTGGTGGCGGGGGGCTGTGTTTGAAGGTCGATGGTGGTGGAGTGACAGGTTCGGCCGTGGGCAGAGGTGGCGGCGGCGGAGGTGGAAAATCTGGCTGGGAGTTGGGTGCCTGGGGTGGGGGTGTGTGCTGTGATGGCGGTGTGTACGGTGGAGTCACATAAGGGTTGGAGTGGTGGACGTGGTGTGTGCGAAGTGCGTGAGTGAGTGGGCCGTAGGTGCCTGTGGGGCTGTAGGTGTGGTGGGCGGTGGTGGGGGGAGAAGTTGTGGTATCTGGGTTGGTGAGCTGCTGATGGTGTTGCTGCATCAAATAATGATTCCAGTAGTATTGCTGCCACTGCGCGTCCATGGTGGCTGAGCGAAGTGTCACTGGATCGTGGGCGTGGATCACCGGTTGTTGATTTGAGCAAGCTGAAAATGTAAAAACAGGTGCAAGACAGTCGAATGGGGAAGCAATGGTGGCGTTAAAGCAGTCATGCTGCCGGAAAACCGGTGTCAAAGAGAAAAAACCCGAACGACCGCCGAAAACACAGGAAAACCGGAAAAACCCAAAAGGCGCCTGTGTGGGTGCGAACAACCTATTGAAGATCAGACTGTCCACGGAAGCGCGCTGTTTTTCGTTGTGCAAGGTGAAACTGAACGTGGTTGTCTGTGGAACAAGCTGAGCGACTGCCCGAAGATGATGGTGGGTGTGTTGTTGGAAAGTTGTGTTAAAACGGAAACAACATGGCCAAAAAAGGAGGGTGTGAGGGTGGTAACATGTTGTACAAGTCATCTTCGGTGGAATCATGGCAGGCG